GCGTGGTGGCACGCACCTGTAGTCCTAGCTTCTTGGGAGGCTGAGGCAGGAGAATCACTTGAACCCGGGAGGCGGAGGTTGCAGTGAGCTATCACACCATTGCACTCAAAAAAAAAACTAGAGGAGCCCAGCATTGTTGGTAACAAGCTAGAGCCTATTACTGTCATTTTCCAGATGAGGAAAATGCAGCCTAGGGGACAGGAAGAGACGTAACATCACACAGCCGCTGACTTGCCCATGCAAATTCCACAGCCCCTTGCCCAACTTGCCTCTGTCCAGACAGGGCAAAGGGGCTCTGGGTCTGCAGCTGCTGTGTTGGCTGCATCCTAGGGCTTCTGGGAAATCCCTGCTCCCCTCACGGCCCAAATGGAAAGCCCCAAGGTCAGAAGAGGTTGTCCCGGCTACAGGCTTCCCTCTGAAAGGACCAGGCCTCTGGGCCAGCCTGGTGTCCTCTCCCTAGGGGCAGGGTGCCCACTCAGGACTTATGACGCCCAGGGCTGTGTGCCCAAGCCGCTCACAGGGCTCTTCCCGCCACCCCCTTTATCCTGCAGATTTCCACACACACCACACAGTTGACAGCTTTAGCATTGGACACCCATATACATACCCACCAGCGGGAGTCCACCGTTGACATCTTCCTGTACTTCTCCCATCATCCCTCAGTCCATCTTACTTTTTTAATGTATTTCAAATTGAAATGCAGACATCAGTACATTTCCTGCTAAATATTTCAGCATGTGTATCATTAACTAGACTTCACTATTTATTTACATTTTTCTTATGTAAAATTTATTATACAGGGAAAAGTGCAAATCTTATGTGTACATTTGCCAAAGCCCTCTTTCACTCAGCAAAATATTTTGAGTTTGTTACATATAACAGTAGGTCATTGCTGTTAATTTTTTTCCTGTTTGAAGAGCTGGGGTTTTGCTCTGACACCCAGGTTGACCTCCTGGGCTTAAGTGATCCCTTTGCCTCGGCTTCCCGAGTAGCTAGAATTACAGGCACAAGCCACCATTCCCGGCTAGTTCATTTATTTTTTAAATAAACTTTTTATTTTAGAATCACTTTAGATTTATAGGAAAGTTGGAGAGAGAGAACAGAGTTCCTGTAAGCCCCCACCTAGTTGCCTAGGTTGTTAACATTTTATATGTTACCATGATATGTTTGTCAAAACTAAGACACCCTGATATATTACTATTGGTCTGAAACACTAGAATGGATTTGGATTTCCTATTTTTGCAGTCACATCCTCTTTCTCTGCCAGGACCCCATTGAAGGGTCCACGTTACATTTAAGGTCACACCTCCTCAGTGTCTTCTGCTTTTGTTTTTAGTCTTTCCTGACTTGTCATGACCTTGACAGTTGAGGACCACCAGCCAGGCATCTCGTAGAATGTCACCCAATTTAGGTTTGTCCCCCAGTTTAGGTTTGTCTGATGCTTTTCTTAGGATTATCCTGTGGTTGTGGGTTTTTAGAAGGAATCACATCTATTGGGGGTACATGCTAGCCATGTGATTTCAAGCTGATGTTAACCTCCACCACGTGGTTAAGATAGTGTTGGCCAGGTTTCTCCACTGTGAAGTTACTCTTTTCCCTTTCCCTGATCCTCAGCAGGAAGTGAGTAACCGAGTCTAGACCACCCGAGGCTTAGGGGATGCAGAGTGAACAAGAATTAAGCTCCTTCTGTGGGAGGGGGTATAACTACCTACATTGTTTGGAATTCTTCTGGAAGGAAGATTTATCTCCTCCCTGCATTGATGTATTGATTCATTGATGTATTGGCTGATTTAATTGAAGTTCTATTTTTTATTTTTGAGACGGAGTTTCGCTCTTATTGCCCAGGCTGGAGTGCAGTGGCACATCTCCGCCTCCCGGGTTCAAACGATTCTCCTGCCTCAGCCTCCTGAGTAGCTGGGATTACAGGCATGCACCACCACGCCCAGCTAATTTTGTATTTTTAGTAGAGATGGGGTTTCTCCATGTTGGTCAGGCTGGTCTCGAACTCCCGACCTCAGGTGATCCGCCCGCCTTGGCCTCCGAAACTGGTGGGATTACAGGCGTGAGCCACTGCGCCTGGCCGAAGTTTTATTTTTGTCAGTGGAATACATGTATGTAGTTTGCAGAGTTCAGGTTTATAGGGGAAAAGAATAGCTACCTAAATTCTTCCTGTTATTTCTGCTGGTGTTTCTAAATAATATGCCTACTCTTCTGTGTGTCCTTTTTCCGTTTTGTATTAGGTTGGATCGTATGAAATTGCCCGTATTCAACCATTTTTTTATCTGCAAAAATGGCAGTTTCATCTGGTCCAATCTAATAACCTCATCTTTTTCTTCCTCCTGCTTGTCCAGATGATTATTGTGTGACATGGAGTTGCTTCGTTTTGATTGTTGCAGATTGTGACTGCACCTGCCCCTCATCTGACCTGGTTCAGGGATCAGCCTCTGAGCTCAGTCCCTGCTTTGGGCTCCTCCTGCCCAGATGGCATCTCGGGCCTGGGTGAGAAAGGGCTGCAGGGTATGAGGTCAGCCTTTGCTGTGATCGCTGCCCCCCAATGGGCCAGCCTGGAGCTGCCAGCTGGGCAGCTGGGGGCCGGGCCTCAGGGGCTGCCTGAGCTCTGTCTGCTTTTCTGACACTGACCAATCTGGTGCTCCTCAGGGATCTGGGCCCCAGGCAGACCACCTTTCTGGGTCCATGGCCATTAGTCCAGTGCTCCCGGTGCAGCCTTAGGCCAACCATTGAATGCTTTGAGTCTCAGTTTGCCCATCTGTTGAAGATGAGGATTGTTAAACCTTCCAGATGGGCTTCTGTGGTGATAGAATGGCAGGTACTTGTCCTGAGGCCATTAGAGCTGCTGGTGACAGGATACCTTCCTGAACTCCAGGTGCCTCTGATCTCTCTTTAGCTGCTGTTGTGTTACCTTCAGCTGAGTGAGAAGCTGCCCAGGACAGGGTCTGGAGGTCTAGATCCCAGGCTTAGCTCAACCTGTCTTGCCCCAAGACCATAGCCAAGTGCTCTGTGCCTTAGTCTCCCCATCTGTGCCATGTGGTTGGTGCCAATCCTCTGAGGCCTCCAGGTGCCTGAGAGCTGCAGTGTCTGCAGTGTGAGCCCATCCGCTCATCCTTCTCTGAGGCTGGGCCCTGCCCAACCTGCTCCAGGGACCAGTGGTCTTGGGAAGCTTGGGCTGACCGAGACCGCAGACTCTGGGTCTGGTGTACAGGGCCCTCGGCAAATCCCTGTTCCTTTCTGGGCCTCCTTGAAGAGACAGTGGGCTGAGCTTCTAGGCCCCCTTTGATTCTGCGTGTGGCCCAGAATGGGACAGACAGACTGAGCTGGGCACAGAGATACCATAGTGACAGAACCATTCGAAGACCCTGCCCTGATGGAGGCCCTGGGCCAGGGGAGGAGGCACAATCAGGCTGTCAGCTGAAGGAAAAATTGTGCTTTGGATGAGTCTGTTATTGAGTAGAGATTAGTGGGGCCAAGACCTAATCTGGGGGGCAAGTGATCCTGAGACCTGAAGCGTAAGCAGCTGTCGACTAGATGAACGGGGAGAGAACATTCCATGCAGAAGAAACAGTAAGGATCCTGCAGTGGGGTGAGGTGGAGCCAGGAGAGGGTGGGCAGGGACCCTAGCAAGGTCTCAGAGCACCAGGGAGTTCGAGCTTCCCCCTAAGGCATGGGAAGCCTTTGGAGGATTTGAAGACTGGAAGTAACACCATCAGATGTAGGTTTTGAAAAGCTCCCTCTGGCTGCCAGGAAGAATGGGGTGGGCGTGGGTTTGAGAGCAGGGAGCCCAGGGACCAAGCTTTGCTGTTGTTTAGGAGATGACAGTGGCTCTGTCCAGAGTAGTGACTGTGGGGCTGGATCAAAAGGGTGGATTTGAGTTTAAGGGGTAGAATTGACAGGTCATGGTGGCTTGATGTATGAGAGAAGTGTCAGGGCAATTTTGTGGCCTGGGCACTTGGTTGGAAGATGGGGGCATGGGTGCCCAGTGGGAGAAGTGTATTTGACAGAGGGAAGGTGAGGAGTTTGATGTGGACCTGGCTGGGGTGGAAGTGGCTGTGGGAAGAGGGGGCAGAGGCCTCTGGCTGCACAGGCACCAGGCTGGCATTTGAGACCAAAGCCTGTGATGGAGGTGTAGACCATGGGTGGGGGCCGGGGAAGTCTGGACAGCTTCTGAGAGGCCAACAGACCTTGCAGGGTCACGTTTGGGCCCTGAGGTGGGGGCCCTGGGCAGGGCCTCTCCAGTGATTGTGATCCAGAGCCAGGCAGGGGCTCTCCTGTCTTCCAACACATGCTAGCAGTTCAGGGATCCTGGGCTCACGGGGAGATACCCTGCAGCACCTCATATCCTCTCTCTCCCCCTAGATCCTGCTCATCTCTGATTACTTCTATGCCTTCCTGCGGCGGGAGTACTACCTCACACACGGCCTCTACTTGACCGCCAAGGACGGCACAGAGGCCATGCTTGTGCTCAAGTAGGCCTGGCTGGCACAGGGCTTTGTGGACCTCAGGGGGCTGAGGGGCCAGAAGCTGGGCCAAGCCCTCCAGTCAGTGTTGCCAGCAGGCGAGTGCTCGGGCAGAAGAGGTTCGAGTCCAGGGTCACAAGTCTCTGGTACCAAAAGAGACCCATGGCTGATAGTAAGGCCTGTGGGGAAGAACTGGAAGCTCCCCAACTTGGACCCCCCCCACTTCGTGGCTCTGCACACCAAGGAGCCCCCTCCCAGGCAGGAAGGAGAAGAGGCAGGTGAGCAGGGCTTGTTAGGTTGTAGCTACTTAATAAATGTTTTTTGTTATGAAGTCTACCCTGAGACCACATCTGCATTGCACTCCTAGAGGGGTGGCCCCTAATGTTCTGGAACACTACACACAGGTGTGGGTTTCCAGAGCAAGCACTGAGGCCACAGAACACAAGTCCGTGCGCCAGAGCCCGGCGATGGTGCAGACAGCCCTACCAGCACCCTTCCCACTCCCAAGCAAGCAGCTGGAGGCACGGGGCCAGGCAGGCCTGAGCAATCTTTATTCTGCAGAGGGACAATGACCACAGATCCATACACCATGTGGAGACCGAGGGGCAGGGAGCCAGGGGCCAGTCTTTCAGGGGTGGGCAGGTCCAGGCGTGGGCAGAGCCTCGGGTGGGTGAGGGGCAGATGGGCAGACAGGCAGGGGCCTAAAAAAAAGATGAACCACACAGCAGGGTGCTGGGGGCTGCTCCCAACCCTCCCCCATCCCAGCCAGCACCCAGAGGGACAACCCTAACACAACCGGCCCAGGATCCACCCAGGGGCAGAGTAGGTGGGTTGCCCTCTGACTAGGGGGGCGCATGCCTGCCCAGCCCACCACGGCAGAGGCAGCTCAGTTCAGGAACCAGGAGCTATCTGGGCAGGGCCTGACCGGGCCCCCCCCACTCCCAGGCCGACCCCCCTACTGCTGGCTCAGAAGCCGAAGGTTTCCTGGGAGGCGTAGACCATGTAGAGGAAGCCGTCCTCGTCTTTCTCCTGCTCGTAGATGTCCGCGATGGGCGTGGACACGCTCACCATGCTGTGCTGGTTCACCAGCAGGAAGAAGGCCTGCGTGGGGTTCAGCTGCAGGCGGCGCCTGAGGCAGGCGGGAGAGTATGTGGCTGTAAGGGGCTTGGCTGCGGGGCAACGTAGCCCTGACCCCCAGAATGATTCCCAGCCTTTCACACCCATCCTCACCCCACCTGTCACCTCTGACCCGGCACCGACTGCAGCCCCGACCTTGACCTTTCCAGTCGCCCCAGAACAGGGGTCCACCACCGGTCCCATCACCCCTGACCCCTTCTCGGCGGGAACCCGTCTCCCTTCCCGACCCAAGCCACCACCTGGCAGCGGCTGCCCACGCACCGGATGATCTTGACCAACTCGCTCATGTTGACATGGTCCGGGACCAGAAACTTGGTCTTGTCCAGGACAGGCAGCTGCTTCTCACCCTTGTAGCGCTCGATGATCACCTGGGAGCAGGGCGGGCGGGCAGGGGGTTGTGTCGGGGACGCGCGAGGCGGGGCTGGGGCAGGGCTG